GTCTGATCTAGAATTACGGAGATTGTCCTAACTGTCTGATCTAGAATTACAGAGATTGTCCTAACTGTCATATCTAGAATTACAGATATTGTCCTAACTGTCTGATCTAGAAATACGGAGATTGTCCTAACTGTCAGATCTAGAAATACGGAGATTGTCCTAACTGTCTGATCTAGAATTACAGAGATTGTCCTAACTGTCTGATCTAGAATTACGGAGATTGTCCTAACTGTCAGATCTAGAAATACGGAGAGTGTCCTAACTGTCTGATCTAGAATTACAGAGATTGTCCTAACTGTCTGATCTAGAATTACGGAGATTGTCCTAACTGTCTGATCTAGAATTACAGAGATTGTCCTAACTGTCTGATATATATTACGGGTATTGTCCTAACTGTCTGATCTAGAATTACGGAGATTGTCCTAACTGTCTGATCTAGAATTACGGAGATTGTCCTAACTGTCTGATATATATTACGGAGATTGTCATAACTGTCTGATATATATTACGGAGATTGTCCTAACTGTCTGATCTAGAATTATGGAGATTGTCCTAACTGTCTGATCTAGAATTACGGAGATTGTCCTAACTGTATGATCTAGAATTACGGAGATTGTCCTAACTGTCTGATCTAGAATTACAGAGATTGTCCTAACTGTATTAGTAATAGGTTATTTATGACCCTATGACCCAAGTGTGACTTATTTGTTGATTCATTTTTTGACAGTTTTTGACCGTTTTCTTTCAGGGTTATANAGTAATAGGTTATTTATGACCCTATGACCCAAGTGTGACTTATTTGTTGATTCATTTTTTGACAGTTTTTGACCGTTTTCTTTCAGGGTTATATTTCGCTGGTTATATTTTTATCTGTGTCAGCACGTCTTCGAAATAAGTGAGTCGAACCCTTTTCGATCATAGTCTACACACATTATTAAAGATCTGCTAAAATATTGATAAGCATTGAAAAGGAAAAGTTGGATGTTTTATTGACTTATTGAGTTTTGAAGTTTCTCAATTAGAATTCAATTCAAAGGAATTTACTATAGTTACTACTAAATTCTAATATTGGTTTAAAACATTTCAATTTGTTGATAAATAAGATTAAAAAGATGAAATGGTGAATTAAAAAAATGGTGTAAGAACATTTTTAAAATTGTTTTTTTTTTCTAAATACATGGTGTCCGACGAAATATGACAGTTGGTGAATAGTTGAAAATGTCTTCTTCCATAATTTGTTAAGTGGTTTGATACCAAACAGAACAATAATAACATTATATGGCAGTCATATTATATTAAAATATATTTCAAAGTAAAATATATTTGAGTAAATTTTGTTTTTAAAACAAAATAAACTGCAACAATTCTTTGATATCTAATACTGAATATGGAAGAAGACATTCAAAACTATTTACCATCTGTCATATTTCGTGGGACACCCTGTATGTGCTTTTCTTACAGTGACTTTGAACCCTGACAGAAAATACCAGCGAATACGACCCACAAACGATCAAAAACCAAACATGTTATGGCGATCGTATTTTAATCGGTTAAACATTTTTTTAAGGATAAAATATTTCAAAGTTTAATAAAAGCCCCCCCTGACCCCATTTTTATCAAAAGTTTCCAGAAAAGGATCCAAAACGATAAAAACAATTTGTCCCAAGTTTAAACTAATGTTTAGGGCGAGCCCTCTGAGAAATGCGGAGATTTGAATTTTAGTCTTGATTATGATTTCAACACACAAACTCTCCGACTTAAAATTATCCAGGTAAGGCTTGTGAACATATTAAGGACAGGAAATTATATATCTAATCTACAATCCAAGTTTATTTTCCTCGCTGTTATATTTTTATCTGTGTCATATTGTCAGCATGTCTTCAAAATAAGTGAGTCGAACCCTTTTCGATCATAGCCTACAAACATTTTTAAAGATCTGCTAAAATATTGATGTTAAGAGAGCACAAGAATAAGCATTGAAAAGGAAAAGTTGGATGTTTTATTGACTTATTGAGTTTTGAAGTTTCTCAATTAGAATTCAATTCAAAGGAATTTACTAGTTATTACTAAATTCTAATATTGGTTTAAAACATTTCAATTTGTTGATAAATAAGATTAAAAAGATGAAATGGTGAATTAAAAAAATCTTTGCATCACCTGAATTGAACGTGATTTTCCTTTTTTGGCTCGTTATATTCCTAGTGTAAGGACGTGACAATGAAAGCATACTTGTTTAGGGACATGATCTTTATAGTATGTTTAGGGTCGTGATATCCATAGTTTTCTTTTTTAGGTACGTGACTGCCATAGTATTCTTGTTAGGGAAGCTTTCTTGTCTAAGAACGTGACATTTATAGTTTTCTTATTTAGGGACATGATCTTTAAAGGTTCCAAGGTTAATAGGGACGTGATCTTTATGGCACCTTTGTTTAAGGACGTGATCTCTAAAACACCTTTGCTTTGGAACGTGATCGTTAAAGTGCCTTTGTGATATGATGATATAATATTTATAGCATCTATGTTTAGGGACGTGATCTTTAAATTTTCCAAGTTTAGGAACGTCATCTTGAAAGCAAGTTTATTTAGGAAGGTGATCTTTAAATGCTTAATGTTCCATAGTGACGTGAAATCCTTACATTCTCCATGTTTAAGATCGTAATCTTAAAGCCCCCTTTGTTTAGGGACGTAATCTTTTAAGAACCTTTGTTTAGGTACGTGATCTTTAAAGAACCCTTGTTTAGGGACGTGATCTTTAAAGTCCCTTTTTTTAGGGACGTGATCTTTATAGTCCCTTTGCTTAGGGACGTGATCTTTAAAGTCCCTTTGTTTAGGGACGTGATCTTTAAAGTCCCTTTGTTTAGGAACGTGATCTTTAAAGAACCTTTGTTTAGGGACGTGATCTTTAAAGAACCTTTGTTTAGGGACGTGATCTTTAAAGAACCTTTGTTTAGGGACGTGATCTTTAAAGAACCTTTGTTTAGGGACGTGATCTTTAAAGAACCTTTGTTTAGGGACGTGATCTTTAAAGAACCTTTGTTTAGGGACGTGATCTTTAAAGAACCTTTGTTTAGGGACGTGATCTTTAAAGAACCTTTGTTTAGGGACATGATCTTTAAAGAGCCTTTGTTTAGGGACGTGATCTTTAAAGAACCTTTGTTTAGGGACGTGATCTTTAAAGAACCTTTGTTTAGGGACGTGATCTTGCAGCTAGAGATACAAACGGTCTTAGTGATCCCTATGTGAGGTAAGGTACATACAGTGAGACTCCTAACACTGTGGAATAGGAAGACGATATTCCAGGAATTTATGTACATATCATCACCCTTAACAAAGCTTTCACTGACCGAAAAAATAGAGGGGTTTACTGGAGACTTAAATCACGGGTAGCCGTAGTACATTTGAATTTCCGAGCCTAGTCAACCTTTCCGGTCCCAGTTTGTACCGTACCGCACGGACAATGGCCTGATTAAGCAGAAAATCAAGAGGACTAGCCGGTGCAACAAGGTTGACACGGTCAGACTTAATGCTTCATATATATTGAATTTACTTTTCCAAAGAAAATATTTGACCAGTAGATTGACTGTTTAGTAGTTTTAATACAATAAAACCAGAAAATACAGGAATGATTGATGTCGTTTTCAAATATTTATTTTGCAATTATGAAATTTTGCTAAGAATATTTTAGATTTTTTGCAAACTAATTAATTTATTTGATTTATACAGATTGAACCAACAAAAAAAAACTGGAATTTTAAGCCTTAAATATTATTTAATGTATACAGTACAGAACACTTTTCGAAATAATTTGACGACAATTTTTTTGCCGAGCCAGTTTAAATATATATAATTTTTAACAGTTAAAAATTACAAGCTTTTGTGTAGAGTTTATTATTAAAGGAAGGGGGTTGGACTTTAAAAAGTTACTTCACCAATCAGAAGATTTAAACATTATAAAATTAAATTTTCAAGTTTCAAGATAAACAATTTTTAATTTCAGCAAATTTTTGTGAAATCTTTTTTGAATCTAAAAATTTTAAAAATGAACAAAATTATTGACCATCTAACAAAGTAATAGTCTAATAAGTTGTCATGTCATGTCATGTTGTCATGTCATGAAACCAATGATGTCATAAACTATCAATTCAAAAAACTATTTGGATTGCATTTCATATTAAAATTATTAAAGTGATCCACTCAACATTTTTACATTGTTTTTCAATTTCCCAAATTGAAGGAATGATTGAAAACCTATCTGTCGGTTTGTTAAAAACATGTTTTTCAACTATTTAACCAATAATTGATTGATAGAGTTGGCTGTAGTCACTGTACTCTAGTTCTAAAACATATTTAAATTAAAAAACGAAAACAAATACTTTTATAAAAAATACCAAGTTTTTTTATTCAAAGGAAGATTTTGCCGGCCAAAAAATTAAGAAAAAATCAAATTAATGATTGATCAAATTTTAAAACCATGGTCTGATGCATGGAACAGTAATTACGTATAGTCATAAAACATTCAGATTTAATTTGTAACAAAGTAATTATCAAGTATTTCTAATCACGCAATTAAGGATTGACAAATGACGTTAATTGCATTATTTCAAATTTATGATACAGGGAGTGGACTGAGGCACAATTTCAAATAAAACTTCATGCAAAGATGACAATGCCTCATTTACTACGTTACCCTTGAAACCTTTACTGATGAAAAATGTGGAAGATATTGTGTTTTTCTATGTTTAAAAAATCTGATATTTCCTGTATGTTTTTCGCAGTAGAAATGCACTAGAGAAATCACTGCACATGCACAATCAGTTATTAAAATATTAAATATGGATATCTATACTTGATCAGATAAAGCTTTTAAGGGTACCGTTGTGAATCGGGCATTGCCATATTTGCATGGAGGGTCACTTAAAATTACGCTTACAGTCCCTTTAATTAAGTATTACCTTGCGTTCTAACTAAAAGTTATTATCTTATATATTTATATATTTTGCTAATATTCATCAAACAATTGGGCATGCCTAAAATTCAAACTATTTGTTTTCCTTATATTCAAAGAACTTTAAGTTCGAATTTTTCCAAGTTCAAAAAACTGATTCATATTTGTTTAATATTTAAAAAATTTAAATAGCAATGCAATTATTTGCTAGATTACAGTGATATCTAGAAATCAGTGGAATCATTGTCATCTTCATTATTTCTTTAAATAATTTGATCTTTAGTTAAGCACTTAAGAATTGTAACTAGTAATTATTTAATCTTTAGTAAAAAATTAACTTATTGCCACAAAATCAAATTTTCTAATTTCTATGTCTTTTCAACCTAATGATTTAAACCTTTGATAATTTAAACTAAGATTATTTGATCTAACAGAAATAAAATTTTTCAAAAGGTCTACGACATAGGGTTGCAAAGATATATTGATTAGAAAATTTAAGGTTGTGGCAAGAACTTAGTTTTTTTCTTCTGGATATTTGCAGAGATAGAGTAGTTTTAGAATTCTTACTTCTTAATCACATTTTAAAGATTATAAACCATAGATTAGGCTTACTTCTGAGGACAAAAATTGATTATTTTCAGTTGCGGTTTCTTTTGCGATTGAAACAAGGTTGTAAAATATCAAAATTGAACAATTTCAAAGCTAGACAAATGACGATATCTTCTACATTATTGGTCAGAAGAAGATTTAACGAGTACTGTTGTAAATCGTTCCCTTGTTAAATATGAAATGTTACATGGATTCTGGTGGAATCTGATCTATACGAATTCAATTTTTTTCTGGAAAATTGTGGAATTTTATCTAAAACTACTAAAATTTAAAATATAACATATTTCTGTCTCTAAATTAATGAATATTTTTTAAACATGTTATTATCAAAAAGGTAAATGAAATATTTGAACTGGTAAGCGTTGAAATAAGTTTTAAGTGTAGAATTTGGTTTTAAAAGTGAGGAATTAGGTCAAAAAATGTAGATTTTGATCAAAAAAAATTATTTGTTAAAAACACATATTTTAGATCAGATTCTACATATTTTAATTCCAATTCTACATACATTATATCAAATTCCCGATTTTAGGAAAAAATTCTGAGGAAATTCTACACTTCAATTATGTACATGAAAAATAAAATTAGAAAAAAAACATTTTGATCAAATTCCAAAAATTTTCAGAAATATATGGACTTAGATCTAAAAATTATATTAAATCAATTTCCACGTTTTTTAGATTAAATTCTCATTAGATCAGATTACTCTTAGATCAAACTCCCTTTAGATCAAAGGTTCTGTTTATATTTGCAAAGGTTCTGTTTATATTTACAAAGGATCTGTTTATATTTACAAAGGATCTGTTTATATTTACAAAGGTTCTGTTTATATTTACAAAGAATCTGTTTATATTTACAAAGGTTCTGTTTATATTTACAAAGGATCTGTTTANTAAAATTGATTATTTTCAGTTGCGGTTTCTTTTGCGATTGAAACAAGGTTGTAAAATATCAAAATTGAACAATTTCAAAGCTAGACAAATGACGATACATTATTAGTCAGAAGAAGATTTAGCGTGTACCGTTGTAAAATATGAAATGTTACTTGATATTAAAAACCAGTCCCTTAATTTAAGAAGATTGTTCTTTGTTTCAAATACGTTTTCAAGTTTTAGATTTATCTGTTTATGTTTCCATCAGTTAAGTTTTTGAAAAATATGCACATAATTTATCAATGATCCAGCACTGAAATCTTTATTTTGAGAAAATTAGGTTAAATTGCTTAAACTTTTGTCAAAAATGTGTCATATGGTTGGTCGGCAATACTGCCGACATTTTCGGCAATACTGCCGACATTTTCGGCAATACTGCCGACATTTTCGGCAATACTGCCAACATTTTCGGCAATACTGCCGACATTTTCAAATAAATTAAATAACAAAAAATTGAAAGGGGACAAAAATATTTATTTTTTATTTCTAAAGGTGTAACTTTTAAGAATATCTTTAGTTTCGAGGATTTTAAGAAGCGAAGACGATATTTTTAATCAATTAATCGTCCTACTTATCTTTTTTCACTCGAGTGAAACTGATCAAGTGTCAGGCAGTTATAATTTATTTTAAACCACGGATAAACTCATTTACTAATAAATAAAAAAAAATATTCTAAGGTTTTAATTATATACGAGTTAACAGAATTTAATAGGGAAATAATTTATTGTAATATAAAAATTATCAATTTTAAATTAAATTTGATTACGTTTGTTCAACAATTTCGATTCACGATTTGATTCAATTCGAATTCAGACATTTTACTTTTTGCGAACACTCCCTCTCTTCACAAGTTTGCAAGGAAAACAGAATTACCTTTAAATAATGTATCACACATACAATTTTAAGATTAACTTTAGGATTCAACACGTCACGAATATGTATTCAGTAACCCTCCAAAAATAATAATTCTTGACTTGAATATACTTAGAAATCTATGCCCCCAATTTCAGGCAAAAAACTTTACTTGATTGTAAAATTTGTTTTCTTTTTTTAAAATCGTGCACTTAAACAAATGTATTATTTGTCCAATTTTATAATTATTAAAAACTAACAATTTTACAAAAATTGTTGAAAAAGAGCCAAAAAATTGTAAAACGAATATTGATATTCAAGATCATGATCTTCTAAGGTTTGAACTTTGAAGTACTCCAGCTGAGCTTTCTTGGTTAAGTCAATTATACTCTTTCCTTTTTTGCATTAAACTTCCAACATGTAACGTTTTACTTCAGGAAGACGACAAAAAAGGAAGGGCTTTTTCAAAGGTAGTTAAACTAAGTATGCAGTATTGTGGATAAATTCTTCAGGATTCATTTGAGAAATATAAAACTTTTTAAAGACCTGTAAATCCTGAGTTTGAGCGCAAAGTCGACGTTCAAAATCGTACTTTAGAGTGGATAGGTTTTCAGAATTGTTTTTTTTTAATTATCAAATAACGATCGACAAAAAATGTAAACAAAATTTTACAGTAAACTAATTCGTTGTTTAGGAAAGAAATTAAAAATTAACTCTTATCATCAAAAATACGTAATCTTATTCAATTATTAGTTTCTTTAATCTCTCTTTAATCACAAATATTTTCTGCAGATTTTCTGGAATATTTATTAAACAGACGACATTTGAAGAATTTGAAGAAATCTGCGAACAAATTCATAGGAAATAAGAAATTCAATATAATGATGAAAAAGGAAATAATTAATTCTAACTTCGATATATTGACAAATTTCTTTTGAGAAATATGTTTTTAAACATCTAAAATTAGTTTACTATAGAATTTTTACTATATTTTTTGTCGCCGTTATTTAGTAATTTAAAAAAATGTTTCTGAAAACGTACCCACCGAATTTTTTTATTTTGAACGCCGACTTTACGCTCAAACTCTGTAATTATACATCGTGGAAACGTTTTATTTGTCTCTCAAAAGAATCCTAAAGAATTTAACCACTGCATACTCAGTTTAACTACCTTACATAGCCGGTCTGTCCCTTTAAAGTACAGAATTGATTTCTTTTAACATTAAAAACTGAAAAATGTCAAGGGCAATTTCCAGGATGTTATTGCCTCCCAGTATTTTAATAAAAATATTTATTAAATTTCGAAATTTGTCAGGATTTCTTCTTCTTTATACTAAAATATTCATATATTTTGATGATTTGAACTCTTAAAGTTTAAGTTGATGGGAACATTTCATATTTTTTAACTGCATGGTTTTTTAACCTTAACTTCTTGAATTTTAGGAAGAGGTAATTTAAATGATTTTTTGCAAAACTATAAAATTGTCAAACTTTTGTAAAAGTCTTGAATTGCCCATAACTTTACAACCAATAGGGCAACGGGTCTTTAATCTACTTAAAATAACCCCAAAGGCAAAATGGACATAAAGAGCTGTTTTTACTTTTTTTTTTTTTCTTCAGTTTTGCTCGTAAAAAGTAAAAAGTCAAAAAGAAGTGATAAAGTTAAACTGGGAAATATTTAGCTTCAACTTTTAAGACTGTTGTTAACATAAAACTACATGTTTGGCACAACACATTAAACCCGATCTTTCAAATAGTTTTGAAACAAACATTAAACAAACAAAATATAAAAAATTCAAGGAATTCTAGCAAAGTCGAATGTCCATTGTTTTTTTATATTTAATATTTCAAACTTAAAATATTCGATCTAATAAAATTCATAGTTTCAAGTATCAAAGGTTTTTAAAACTTTTATTAAATCTTATTTTACATTTTTTGACAATCCTCCTGAGTTTAACATATCTACCATCAACTAACTGTTTAGGAGAAGTTGGGAGAAATCCTCCTGAGTTTAACATATCTCCCATCAACTAACACTCTCTCTATTCAAATCATAAAGGTAATTTTACATCAGTTTCAAGTTACTCTCGGTCTCCATATTTTGAATGGCATGTCTGATTCCACAATAAAACCCTCATAAATCTTTAGATAATCAAGGATTAAGAAGATATCATTGTTTTTCTTTCTTATTGATTATTCTTAATTGATTTCTCTGTAAAAGTTGATTTCTCATTTACAAAGATAAAGGTTTTAAAGGTCCTGTTGTGAATCAAGCATGCTGCTCTGTAAATGGAGTTTCATTTAACTTGAAATTATTATGAAATGCGAAATGACCCCCTATTAGAGTTAGAGGGGGGAAGGATTCTTTTTAGCATTCACTTTCTGATTTGGTCCAGGTACAAAACTGAATACGTAGATTCAGTTGAACTGAACTTCTCTTCCACTCACATTTATTTTATCTGAGATTGCTCATGCTCATGCCACATCAAGTTAAAGATAGTTTTATTTTAGTTTGAAATAAATTCCATGTTTTTAAGCACATCTTTTCTTTTGACGGTGCTATTATATAACCAAACAAGTTTGTTTATGTAACTTTCGTGTGTTATGTTAAAACTAAAAAACTGGGGGAGTTACGAGGTTGTAAAATCCTAACTTTTAATCCGCATAAAATGGACTTTTTATTCATGTTTTGTTTTTTAGGCTAGGAACTTGAAAGCTAAAGATATAAATGGAAAATCAGGTAATTAATAGACATTTTCGATGGCTTAAAAATCATTTTTGATTTTAATCTTGAAAAATCGATTTTGATATTGGAGGAATATTTTGAAGAGTTTGATTTTTTGACGCACCTTTCATTTCTTGTATTGCTTTTTTGAAAAGAAATTGTGTAAAAACCACCATTAATTATTAACGAAAACATATTCTACGCATTTCTCCCACTCTCACAAGAAAAACAGATTTTTTAAAATAGATAAAAGTACAATAAGTGGCAACAGAGAAATGGACCAATTATACACGACGTCACAAGTGTCAAATATAACAAGGAAAACGAAATTTTCTCACATATTAGTGTATAAACAGAAAATAAAAAACACATAAAATTGCACTTATTTCACAGTAAAATAAGCATTTTTTTTCTAAAATTATCACTATTATTAATAATAATGTCGGACACACAAACTGAGTTGACAATTGTGTCGTAAGAATATAACTGTACTGAGAGTGTACAAATTCTACGTTGTCATCTATTGTACTAGAATCTATTTGGATTTTATAAAAACTTAAAATCCTACAATGCATTTAACTTTTTTGTATAAAAAAGAAAGATTTCAAAGTGTCGTTTTTCTATTTTTGATAAAGCGTTGTTCTACATATTTGCAGGGTTTAGATTTTCTCTACGAAATTTTTTTTTCTGTTCCAAACATACAGAAATTGAATTACATATATCTCTTTGAAGCTGCATCAAGAAACCTTTAATTCAGTAAATATCCTTTATCATATAATTTTCAGCGTTGATAATTTTTAAGACAACATATTCTCATATAAGGGAGATACTTCAGGATAAGTGAAAATAGACAGCTAGGTAATGAATATAAGTTGTCTATGAAATCTTGAGCATATTCTGATATTGAGTTGTTATGTTTACTCTCCTGAGCCCAAAACTTAAGACAGGGTATCGTTCAAAAACCAGTTTTAAAACCCAGGTTTCAAGAATGGGGTTAGGCATTTTTTTGAATATAAATATTTTTGTTATGAAATATTATTTTATTCTGTATGTTTATACTCGCAATTTTTTTTGAAACTCCTAAATCAAAATGTTAAAACCCCAAAAAGGAAACTCGAGGTAGTTTTGTCTAACGATACTCTTTTAAATTTCGAGCTCTGGTGAAGCTAGCGAAGCTGACAATTGTTAGGGTTGCCCGGTAGCTTTCTAGAATACCAATTTTTATAAATGTAGATTAATCAGATTTCAGAATGCTTTTGCATCGGTAGCTTTAAGGCCACCGGACACCTTTTAATTGAATTATTGACCTAAAAGTAGCCTTTTCATAAATGGCAAGTTTTTTCATCGTTTTTGATACTTTTACCCAAAAATTCAGCAAATAAAGCTAAAAATTTGTTTGCCGCTCCGCGCACACATAATCCATTTATAATCAACAAATACCTCTAAACCATAGCAAAGCCAGAGTATGAAAGAATAAGGTTTTTTAATACAAATAAAAACTTAGATCTTTATTTTTGTTGTTATGAAGTACATTCAGTTTGTTAATAATATTTTCAGATGAAATGATTGATAAATTGTATTAAATTAGTATTAAATTAGTATTAAATTAGTATTATTAGAAAAATAAACTGTAAATTCAAGCATAAAAAGTAGCCTAGAGAGTACTAGTATCCTTAAAAAATTCTCAATTTAGCCTTTCAACCTGGCAACCCTGAAAATTGTTTTTGAATCTTTCCAATTGCATTTTGGTTTAGTACAGAGTACAGATACAGAATAAAGATTGTAAACAATAACTCAAATGATAAACAAACATCTGGCATTTCTGGCGTTAGATGAAGATTCACCGTATACTAACTCATGTTTGTTTACATTAAATCGGCTGCCTTTGTTATTGTTGTTACGCAAAAACTAGTTCTTCAGCAGTCCAAAAACGTCACAGCAAAGTGTACGGAAACCCTATCGCCCCCTCCTTGTATTCAATTCTCCTTGGCTTATATAAATCTTAAAATGTTAAATTATTTTATTTTTAGATCCCTACGTGAAAATTTGGCTGTTCTTTGGTGAGAAAAGAGTGGATAAAAAGAAAACCCCGATATACAAGTGTAATCTGAACCCTACATTTAACACGGTAATCTTTTATCATCTAGCTTTTCCGAACTATTCAAAGATTTGTTCCCAAGCGACCCCTTTCCAAGGGTATTTTCCAAAGTTGGTATTTCCACATTGTGCAATTTCTCAAGCGGCAACTTCCCAAAGGTTAGGTTAGGCATTCTGAGATGCCACAGGCTGCAATGGGAGGCCGATATTTGTGGCTAGGATAGACTTGTGAAGTTGCCGCTTGGAAAATTGCACAGTTGAGAAGTTGCAACTTGGGAAAATACCCTTGGGAAGTTGCCGCTTGGAAAAATGAACAGTTGTGAACTTGTAACTTGGGAAAATACTCATGGGAAGTTGCAACTTGGGAAAATACTCATGGGAAGTTGCCGCTTGGAAAATTGTACAGTTGGGAAGTTGCAACTTGGGAAAATACCCATGGGAAGTTGCAACTTAGGAAAATACCCATGGGAAGTTGCAACTAGGGAAAATACCCATGGGAAGTTGCAACTTGGGAAAATACCCATGGGAAGTTGCAACTTGGAAAAATACCCTTGGGAAGTTGCCGCTTGGAAAATTGCACAGTTGGGAAGTTGCAACTTGGGAAAATGCCCATGGGAAGTTGCAACTTGGGAAAATACCAATGGGAAGTTACCGCTTGGGAAAAAACCTTTGGGAAAATATCTTACATCTCAAGGACGAATTTGTGAAATCGAAATTATGTTTTTTATCTATTAAAGGAAACCCTTTGTTAATTTTACCAATTACAGGTTGTCTAAAAAAGTGAAATTGACTTTTTATCTATATTTATAAAAATCTTTATCGAAACTTAGAGATGTGAGTTAATTCTTTTCAATCAAAACTGAAAGTTGTCATAAACTTTAAGCTTTAAGTCTCTAAAAGATATCATTGTTTTGTAGCTTTTAAAATGTCAAAAATATAGAAATCGAATCATTTAGAGACTTGTAGACAAAGTGTTTAAAAAATGTATAATGTTTTCTGCAAAGAACTAACTCGAAATTTTTAGACATTCGAGTTCGATGTTCCTTGGGAACAGATTCGAGATTGCAGCCTCGAGATTTCGGTAATGGACTTCGATACCATCGGTAGAAACGAGCTCATCGGCAAACTTATGCTCGGAGGTGAATATATCAGATTTCAAACGAAATAATTTGAAAATGATTTGTGTTGAAATTATTTCTTCTATCTGGAGTATAAAGAAGAAAATGGATAACTTTTTAGTTAACTTTTAGATTTTTTACAATCTTAATAATCATAGAGGTAATATAAATATTTTGATAAAATCTTCAATCGAGACATCAACAGCAGGGCGGCGTTGAGATATCATTTCGTTGAACAGACATACACAATCGTGTTTTTTATGATTAATTAGGAAAGGATTTTCTGAAATGTATAGTACACTGTTATTTAAAGGTCACAAGCTTTAAAGAAAAAATCTATGAGAACTTTGTAAAGGAAATGAGTTTTTTGCCACAAACTCTAACTGTTTTTCTACTATATCTTTGCAACCCAATGTCCTATAACTTAGATATTTCAAACTATGAATTCTTTTAGATCAAATAGTCAAAGTTTGAAATATCATCGGTTTACGCCATCTGGTTGCAAAGATAAAAGGGATTAGAAAATTTGAGTTTGTGGCAAAAACCCAATTCCTTTCTTCTTATAAACCAAAAATAAAAGCAAGTGCTAAAATGTACATGTGAAGGGCTACAGAAAAACATAAGCGAGCTAGAGCGGTAACATCAAGGCCCATAAGGCGTTGCGACAGTTTAAAGTCGACCCTGTCTTAAAAATATATGAGACACTTTATAAGCAGGCTGAATCTATGTGTTAGCTAGTAAGTAAGTAATTATTTATTTATAGATATAACAACAAAAAATACAGAACTAAGTGTTTCATGAAAAAATAATTCTAAACCTCCTAAAAAAAAGTTGTGTGAATATTTCCTCCAAATTCTAAAAAAAATAAAATGAAAAGGAAAGTTACATATTTATTGTTTACATTATTAATATAACTGGTGGTGGCTTGTTAGTATTTTTGACGATCCTAAAATGCGCGGAAATAAAATAATTGTTCATATAAGTTGGTAATCATGCTTAAAATTAGGATGAACATTTGTAAAACAAATTCTAACTTTTAAGCACATTTAAGGGCTACAAGCTGAAACAGAAGGGCCCGGCGTTGCCCGTGAAAAAAAAATTTCGAAAAAAAAATGAAAAAAAATTCGAATTTTTTTAGCCTGTAACACCCATGAGTGTCCACAAAAAAATTGGCCGGCTTCACGCAACATATATATATATATATATATACGAATGTCTTGTTTTATTATATAGATAAGGAGCCAAAATAGATCAAATTATCTTTCAAAAAATGCCAGAAGGTCTTAAATTTTCCATCATCTTATTTTCTTCAAAAGCCTTTATTATTGGCCGTTATGCATCCTGTGGTCGTGGATTGTGAATTCTAATTTTATCCAAATTCCAAGCAAATTATGAATTATTATCTAATTTGTGCTCTCGTAGGGTTTCCAGCGAAAAGGACTAATCGTTTCGCGAAATTTTGCATTTTCGCGAGAAAAAAATATTTTCGCTGAAAATTTCGCATTTATTCGCATTTCGTTCGCTCTTTTCGCAAATTTTTTTTTTAATCTGTTTCGCGAAAACATGCAAAATGTTCGCGAAAAACAGCAAAAATTTCGCAAAAAAAATGCGCAGATTTCGTGAAAAACAAATGCAAACATTTCTGAAGAAGAAAATGCGAAAACTTCGCGAAAAAAATCCGGAAGGGAAATCATTAATTATGATATAATAAAACTTAAGATGCTGAGCACTCAGAGCAGAGAATTAAGCAAGTTTTTTTTGCGCAATTAATTGCTGCAGCTACAACACTTATGGTTTTCGCGGATTTTTTTTTCTCGAAATTTCGCATCTTTTCTTATTTTTTTCGTTAAATTGATTTTCGCGAAAAAATTTGGGAAATACAGACGAAAATTTTCGCATTTTTTCGCAAAAGTTTTATTTCAATGAAAACCCTACTCTTTGCTCTGTATATTATTGTCTTGTATGTCTCTCTGTCAATCTAGTTAGCTATCCGTTGTATCCAAATAAAACGTCAAAAAGACTAAACTTATCGGGGCCCAAATGTTTAAGGAAGATTAATGTTTGAATTGAAATTGACAAATTGAATATAAAAACTTACCAATTGAAATAGAAAAAATCAAAAACGATGAAATATTACTATGTTTACAGCAACAGTGAGAAGTTAACGTCGTTAATAGGAAAGTTGGCGCAAAAAGCGTCCTAGATGCAGTTAAATATTCTATTGAGTAACTGAGATGTATGGTTGTTTACTTGCTTATAGGATCGCAGAGTTTTGCTAAGATTTAATTTTGTTCTAAATAAATTTCAATTTGTACATGTAAGCTAAACATTTTGTAGACAGCGCAAACTACGCTCTAAATTTTGTATCAAACTTGGAAAATGAAAATTTTTGAATTAGATCAGATTTTAGTATAAGGAAATTGAGTCTTTGCCACAAAGTCAAATTTTCTATGATCCCTATATCATTGCAACCTGATGGTGTAGGCCTTAGATATTTCAAACTTAGGTTATTTGATCTAACAGAATATATAGTTTGAAATATCAGTAGTCTACAACATTGGGTTGCAAAGATATAGAGAATTAAAAACTTAGAGTTTGTTCCAAAGACTCTGTTCCTTCAACTTTATAGGTACGTTGATTATTATACATGGATACCATTTTTATATCGAAGGAAAAAGAAATAAAGTTTTTAGAAAGCATAATCCCCTTCTTACTTTTTCAAAACAGATTGAAATTCTAAGGGAAACTTTGTTGCAACTAATTTTGAATTTATCAAATATTTAGAGTTTTGATATTTCAATCCTGAATTTAAATCAAGTTTAAACTTTATAAAAATTAATTCTATTTCATTTACGGTTAACGAAACATATTCCTTCAGAGGACGTTTCTTTCCAACACTACATACAATGGTCGACCAGATGACGTCTTCGACAGTGTACGTCCTAATTATCTATCTATCAAATACTTAACTTATGTGAGGCATCTAGCGGTCAAACTTTATCGTCCCTCAAAGTACGTTATTCAGGAAACGTACTCTGAAATATCAATATTTTGATTTTAACAAAATACTAATTAGAGCCCGAAACTTAAGACAAAGTATCGTAATGAACCCCAATATAGTAAGTACGGTTTCATGAATGGGGTCAGGCAGTTTTGTAAATAACCTATTTTTGATGAGAAAATTTTTTTCATCCAGTTTCTTTACTTTCTCTTTTTATTTTCTGATTTTTTAAATCAAAAATCTACGCAAATGCATACCATGCACACCCCAAGAATGAAACTCGGGAGAGTTTCGTTCTCTTATTTCCAGTTCTGAGTGTTTATAATACATGAAAGTGCTTCCATAGTTTTTCATTAAAGGAATTGTTCCCCTTTCTTAAAATCCACGTAATTCCCATTAAAATTCTTTTTTAAAATGTTCCTGAACAATTGTAACATATTTAATTGAATTAACAAATTTCATCCAAAAATATGAAACCCCTTTGACAGAGTTAAAGGTATTTTTTCAACCTTTTTACAAGTACACCAAATGAACCAGTCCCTCCTAGGGAAATTTTATTGTTTGTGAGTGTTCACTTGATTTCAAAAAAGTAAAAAGTTTTTAAAAATATTTGTTTAGCTCGGAACGGGTCGGGTCCGAGGGAGACAGCACAATGGGGAGATATGATTGCTAAACCTAGACAATCTTCCGTAGTTTGGCACAGGTATACACTACAGGCTTTACGGCCTGACAATCTTGACATGCAGGGCTACAAAAAATATGAGTGGGCTAGTTAGGTAACCCATGAAGACAGTTCAAAGCCGGACCGGTCTTATTAGTAGACTTTTTTTTATGAAACGGGCTTTTAATACTGTGTTTTTTTAAGATATCGTCTTTTTTGCTATAGGACTCCTACATATAACATTTAATTGCATGGCAAAGGAATGGAGTCTTTGATACAAATATAATCTTTGAATTTATATATCTTTGAAACCTAATGGTGTCAACCTTTGATATTTTCTAAAGGAATTGAGTCTTTGAAACAACCTCTGATTTTCGAATCTCAATTTCTTTGCAATCCAATGCTGTACAATGTACACCTTAAATATTTCAAACTATCAGTAAAAGTAAAAGTAAAAAATTATTTATTAATGAAATATAACAAAAACATACAAAAAAATGTGTTTCAGGAGAAAATATTTAAAAACCTCTAAAAGTAGAGGTTGTAGGAATATTTCCCCCCAATTCTAAAAAATATAAAAATATAAATAATAGGAAAAGGAAAGGAAAGGATAAGGAAAGTTACATATTTATTGTTTACACTATATTTTACATAAAAATTAGTGGTGGATTGTTAGTATTTTTCGACGATGAACAAACAACTTTTAGTTTGGTTTAGATTTATTTGGAATTGCAATAGACTCAAAAGTGAAAGTATTTTGTATAACTAAGCCAGGTATCAATTTTGGATTCAAGTTTTTTTTACAATATATTGCAACACCTCCCCCTTTTGACGTTTTTCGTGTATTAGTAAATAGTTCGAAATCTTTGATAAAGAATAAGTTAGGTATAGAGACATCCCATATTTCTTGTAAAATTAAAACTGATACATTACCTCCTGATTTTTCGATTCTATCAAGAAGTATTTTCAATTCCTCAAATTTTGATGGTAAACTTTGAATGTTTAAACTAAGGACATTTAATCCGCTAAAATTTCTAATGTTTGATACAAAATTGTTTTCACTTTGGTATGTATTTCTAAGCTCAATGTTTGAAAATAAATCGGGACCCATATTTGTTTGTTCTAGATAATCATTGTAATTAAGAGTATATTGCTCGTTTTTATTAAGGGAACCTATATAATTTTTCACATCTTCAAGATCATCGTCAGGTTGCAAATATATAGAAATTGTAAATTTCGAGTTTGTGACATATAGACTCAATTCTTTTAATAATCTAACAGAATTAATAGTTTGAAATATCTAAGGTCTACTAAATTGGATTGCAAGGATATAGGGATAAGAAAATCAGAGTTATTGGCAATGACTTTTATCATTTACAGTCAGAATAGAGCTGCCATTTTTCCATTAAAGAGAGTGTTCGCGAAACATAAAAAGGGGGTTTAGGCTTACGGCGAAAAACTTATCAATAGTGATTGCTACAAATATTACTTCTATCTGTTGCGTCTATAAGGAGAAAAATTGTTAAAAACGACTTATACCGAAGAACGTAGCGTCCATACAAATTCAGAAAGTTGTAATATACGACTCGGATCGTAAAAAAAAATCAATTCAATTTCAAACAAATCATTAAGATATTACAACCTATAGTCAGCGATTATTTTGCGACGCATTCATATAGTTAATATTTCATAATATGTTTTATTCGTTTTGTATACAATGTACTTAAAACGCCGAAATAGTTGGCCGCAAGATGTCTCTGCTCTCGATGTTTTGAATGATTATACGTGGCAGAGAAACCTAGCGGAAAAATAATTTGTTTTAAGTTGCATTGTATATCAAACAAATAAAAAATATTATGAAATTTAACTTTATAGGAATGCGTCGAAAAATAATTGATGACTTAAGGTTGTAATATCTGAATGATTTGTTTAACAATAAATGATATATTTTACGATACAAGTCGTATATTGCAACTTTCTGAATTTGTATGGACGCTACGTTCTTCAGTATAAGTCGCTTTTAACAATTTTCTCCTTATAGACGCAAGTTAGATAGAAGTAAGATTAATAGTGGTCAAAGGCGATTATTTTTCACCATAACCCTATACCCTCTTAATTTTTTCGCGAACACTCCCTTCAATATTCAGAATATAGGAGCTTATTGTGCTATTTAAACCAATACTAGTTCTTTTCCAAATATTCTAAATTTATACAATTCATTCTTTAAATTTAAAGATGTCACAAGTGAAAAGTTGAAATGGTATTTATAGTAAACAGAAACGTTATCAAGATATTGTTTAAAATAAAAAGAAACAGCCTGTTCTTTTATATTTGGTAATTCCATACATAGATGATTGATATATGGTATACATAGACTTCCATACTGTCGGACTCACATTTTGTAACCAACACGATATATCCATTTTCTATATCTGTTATTAGTTTACATAAATTCACACCACATCAAGATTCTATCAAAATTCATATGTTGGAGGAGAGATAAGGATAAAAGGATAAAAGGATAAAAGGATAAAAGGATGGAAGGATTGAAGGATTGAAGGATAGAAGGATATAAGGATAGAAGAATAGAAGGATACAAGGATACAAGGATACACGGATAAGGATACAAGTATACAAAGATAGAAGGATTGAAGGATTGAAGGATATAAGGATAGAAGTATAGAAGGATAGGTAGATAAAAAATACAACATAATCTTAGTATATCTTTGTACCCTGTGTATGCTAATCTATATAGCTTAATGACTGTTCTATGATCTATTGGTCAGTTAAATTTTACCTATATCATTATAGCTAAATATAGTTAGTTGGATATAAACTCTGAATTCAAATAGTTGTGTTAATCATTAATCGGTAGAGAAATAGATTTAGAGAGCTTTACATGTGAGTTTGAGAATACTTTGTGAACAACCCCATAATTCGAGACACCAATAATTTTTGATAATGTGGGTAAGAAAATTACATCAAAATGCAAGTTATTATTAGGGTAAAATTTTATCAATCTTTCTTCAATTCAAATTTGGTTCCCTAGCTTATTTTGTAATATAATATATCAATTCTCTCTACTATTCAAGCTCGTCATAATGTCTGCTGGTATGTTCCTTGTCTAAATGACGCACTTCCTGCTTACATTCTCAACTTCCTAGCCAGGAACAGCTGATTCCATTCAGTTTTTTTTATTTGTCGTTTTCATTCTTTTTCGAAATTTTTCAAAATCTTTCAAAATCTTACAAAATCCCCAATGAAACCGTGAGCTGCCACCATAGTATTTTTAGCTAGCTATTGTTCCTGCAGAGCTCATAGATCGAGAGAATTCATATTTTTTGCGTAATGTCCTCTAAAACTCAAAAAATGTTGCAAAAAAGTTTTATTTACATATCTCGAGTATGTGGGGAGGAGGGGATGAAAGGGAGTAGGGGGGNATATATATATATACTGGACAGGGTGTCCCTAGATATATATATATACTGGACAGGGTGTCCCTAGATATATATATATATACTGGACAGGGTGTCCCTATATATATATATATATATATATATATATATACTGGACAGGGTGTCCCTGGATATTTGTTTAATGGACAGACGGGACACTTAGCGGCCAAAAGAGTCATTGTCAACAAGTATATTGTATAATTTGTAAGGAAATCTAAAAATGGAAAATTATAACATTTAAATTATGATAGGAGTGTGCCTAAAATTTCAAGGCACCTCGTATTATAATTATCGTATTTCCTGAATATGATCTGTTTAAAGTTTTATTCAAATACCATATCATATTTTTAAGGATTTTGTATAACTCGGGTACAGTTTATATTAGCATTAGTTAGAACAATAATATTGCTCCTATATCCCCATTATTTTACCTTAACTGTCCCTTTAAGAATTTTGCTTTTTCTAAAAAATATATATTTTTGCTCTTACGAAATTTTTCTTGTATTTAGGTTAAAGCCAGGAGAGTAAATCTCTAGGATGGAACTCAAGACCAGGGCTCGAGAAGTAATTAATTTCTAAAAAAATGTATTTTAAAAAACAGTAAATCATAGGATTACCGCTGTATACTATATACCCCAATAAAAATTACAACATATATATAGTGACACTTCGCGTATATCTTTTTTAAATTTTTGTTTGTTGATTGTATACATTTGTAAAAATAGTTGTGAGCATAAGAAGAGTCTTTAAAGTTTTATTTTGACTGATATCCTTTTTGTATCCTAAAAGATGCAATATGCTTTCATAAGAGGAAAAAACTCACAAAAACTATTTTTTGAATTTTAAGAAATTATGAAAACCGTGGTGCCGTTTTAAATTAAAGATTTTGATCTGATTTGATTCATTTCACACGTTTTTTTGATGAATCAATATTTTCATTTGAATAAAAACAATCTAATGTTCAATTATGTGGATTTTGTTGACTGTTGACAGTTATTTTTTAAAAACTAATAGAAGATGTTTTCCCTTTTAGATTGTTTTTACAGACGCAAGTAATTTTTAAAAAGCGGGCTTCATTAGATTTTTGAGAATCCATACGTTCTGTATTTTAAATTGAAAAACTTAGCTAGATGTATATTTAAAAAAGTTAAATATCTGTAAAATTCGAAAACATATTTGCACAAACTGATATTAAACATATTTAATGAATGTTCAAACAAGAAATTTACAAGGATTTAAATTTACAAAATCCAAATTATTCAAAAGTTTTAAAATTAATTGTAAAATATTTTTAAAGTATTTGTAATTTAGTAAATGTCAAAACTTTATGTACTAGTAAAAGTATTTTATGTACAAGTTTACAAGTAGTGAGTTTTTATGTACAAGTAGTACCCCTTTCAGACGATAGATACATATATATTTGATGTACACTTTACAATGTTAAATTTGATAGAAATAAATGTTTTTATTATAAAACTATTCGTTTTTATTCATGGCTCAACAAATATATTTTTCCATCTCAATAAATCATCATGTCGACTTTTAGTTGAATGAATTACCATGAGTTGATTTTGTGTCAATTTGCTTTTATTTTATTTATCTATTGCAAATAATTCATTCATTTTATTTCATCATTATTTACATTCATGCTAGGCTAGAAGAAATTCTAGAATACAATTCAAAATCAGGAACATTTTGTTCAAAATCAGAAACATTTCGTTCAAAATCAGTAACATTTTGTCCAAAATCAGGAACATTTTGTCAAAATCAGGAACATTTCGTTCAAAATCACGAACATTTTGTTCAAAATCAGTAACAGTTTGTTTAAAATCAGGAACATTTTGTTCAAAATCAGGAACATTTTGTTCAAAATCAGGAACATTTCGTTCAAAATCAGGAACATTTTGTTCAAAATCAGGAACATTTTGTTNATACTATTTAGGGTTTTTTGTTCAAAATCAGGAACATTTTGTTCAAAATCACGAACATTTTGTTTAAAATCAGAAACATTTTGTTTAAAATCAGGAACATTTTGTTCAAAATCAGTAACATTCTGTTCAAAATCACGATTATTTTGTTCAAAATCACGAGCGTTTTGTCTAACATTACGAACATTTGTTCAAAAAAGGAACATTTGTTCAGAATCAGGAACTTTCTTTCAAAATGACAAATATTTTGTTCAAAATGCCGAAAATTTTGTTAAAAATCAGGAACATTTTGTTCAAAATTCCGAACATTTTGTTGAAAAGCATGAACAGTTTATTCAAAATAACGAACATGTCATTCAAAATTACGAACGTTTTGTTCAAAATTATGAGCATTTTGTTCAAAATTACGAACATTTTGTTGAAAACTAAACATTTTAATCGAAATTACGAACATATGTTCAAAATCATAAATATTTTTTTTTCAAAATTACGAACTATTTGTTTAAAATTATGAACAAAAAATTTTGTGAGATATTTCTGACATGTTGACCATAATTTCGGAGAGAGTGCAATTGTAATACGGGATTAACCAAGATATAGAAATTTGATTTATCAATACTGAGACATTGTCGGTTATTTTGCTTGAAAAGTGTTAATATTTACAATTTCTTCCATTGTTTCTGTAGGAAGAAATCCGAAAGTAACTATTACGTGTATAGTAGAGAACATAGAATCAAAAATATTCCAATTTTTTAAGAGAATTTACGGACAAAGGTTTGTGATTCGGTAATGGTACTCTTGGTTTGTTTTTAACAAACTTTTTAAAATAATTTGCAAATAGAACAACAAATTTCGAAATCTTGTGAAAGACGATGCCTGGCCGCGTTAAACTAGTTCCACAAGATTCAACAGAATGAGATAGAACGGATACGGGGCAGAGTACTGATAAAACATCTACACGTGTGATTTCGATATTGACTCTAGTTCTGAACCCTCTAGTAATAAGTTATAAGAAATATATATACTGGAAGTTATTTATGCGTTGTTATTTAGAGTCTGACTCACGTCCTCAATAATCTTTTAGTTTAAAGAACACGAATGAAAGCACAACATGTAAAAAATGATCGCCAAATATTTTATATCAAACACTTGATGATAAACCAAATATATATTCATCAATCAAGAAGAGAACACATCACATATTGGATGCTTTTATGTTTTTATTGTTTACATATTTACCCTCACCTTAATATTGCAAGGTATAGAGGGACAGAGATATAAACTTTTAGAATTGAAGTACAGGGTTACCCACATGAGATGAAAGTATAATGACGACCCAAAACTCTTTAAATTTAAACATGGGAATATATTTAGGAATATATCCAGGAATACAGCCAGAAATATATCCAGGAATATTTCCAGGAATATATCCAGGAATATTTCCAGGATTATATCCAAGATTATATCCAGGAATTTATTCAGAAATATATGCAGGAATGTGTCCAGGAATATATCCACGAATAAATCAAGAAATATATCCAGGAATTTATCCAGGAATATATCCAGGAATGTGTACTGGAATATCTCCACGAATAAATTAAGAAATATATCCACGAATAAATTAAGAAATATATCCAGGAATATATCCAGGAATATATCCAGGAATATATCCAGGAATATATCCAGGAATATATCCAGGAATATATCCAGGAATATATCCAGGAATATATCCAGGAATATACATTCTTTCGGAAGCAAAGGGAGGCAAGAAAAACTGCGGACATGCGCGCAGATGGAAAAAGAAGAAAACAGGTAAACATATGAAACTATTTACTGTGCCCCGTACCATTTTATTTTATAAAAATTATGAAAAATTAATTATAAAAATATTGTTAAAAAATGTTTAGGAATATATCCAGGAATATTTAGAAATATTACATTAATTTATAAAAATCGAATAATTATTTTTGAACTCAAATAAATTTAATTATGCGAATGGGGTAGGTTGTATAAAAGTAAACATAAAAGTTTAATGTTGGTTTAAAATGTTGCTTTCTCATTCAAAATAGAACTTTTCTAAAAGAATAAATGTTAAAATATGATAATAAAGTGAACATCGACGTTTTTAGAGGTGAATTCGTGTACAATTAAAAATGGATGAGAGGTTAGAAAATTGTCCCGAATCCAAGTGAATAAAACTTAATGAATTAGATACATAGAAGAAAGAACACAGTTTAAAATTCTCATAAAATACAAAACTATTTAAAAAAAAAACTCTATATATCATCAAGTAGGAATAGAATTAAGTCTTTGCCACACACTCATATTTTGCAATCTGACTGTTCTGTTCCTGACTTAGATTATTTTGTCTGACAGAATTTGTTGCAAAGACTTTTTTTGTCAGGTTTTAAGCCGTTTATTAAGTTTCTTGTTTAATGGAACACGCTGTGCTCTGCATCTGTGTTTTCATTCGAATATAAACCAAATACATTGTGCAGACAAACTTATTCGAATATAGACCAGATACATTGTGCAGATAAACTTATTCGAATATAAACCAAATACATTGTGCAGACAAACTTATTCGAATATAAACCAAATACATTGTGCAGACAAACTTAATCGAATATAAACCAAATACATTGTGCAGACAAACTTATTCGAATATAGACCAAATACATTGTGCAGACAAACTTATTCGTATATACAGAAAACAAAAATATAAAGACTTCAAAAAAAATTAAAAAAAGAATTAAAAAAGGAATTACGTCTTTTACGCAAACTCAAATTTTGTAATCATCTTTGCAACCTAATAATGTCAATAAACCTTTGATATTTCAAACATATATTATTGTATTTAATTTTTAAAGTTTGCAAAGATAGGGATTAAAGTTGCAGTTTTGTAAAATAGATTCAATTTGTTCATTAATTTTAATGTGTTAAAAGTATGATTTAGAACCAATAAATGCATAATACATATTTTAATTATTAGTTATATTATTATTCATAAGCACTATTTTCAGGGTCTGATTCGGTTGAGTGGTTTTTATTCGTTATGTAAAAATGCAGGTTTCTCAGGGTCGGGTTCATCGAACAAACACAAGCTAAGTTTCAAAAAAATAATCATTCATTTCTTTGTCTCTCCAAAATAGACAGAAAAAAGCTCAAATTTATGCGTCATTTTGATTTTACGCACAAGTATGAAAAAAGCCAATTTATCCGGATTAAACCAGTAATTCAAAACATTTTTTCTTCTCAATAGCACTTCCATTAGGGGAGTTATGCATTGATTAAAATTATACAAGATTTCAACATTACGAACAATTCACGTTAGCATGTTGATTATCTATTTTTTTTCATTCAAAATTTTATTTTCCAATTTATAATATTCACGCCAAACTATTTCTATCTCAGTGTGTCTTGTCACTATATGCAGTTGATCCAATAAACGGTGATAAAGTTTACTTACTCCAATATTTAATCCGTTATATTCGATGAGAAAGGACAGACAAATTATGTTTTAATATTATCTAAATTATGTTTTAATATTATCTAAATTATGTTTTAATATTATCTAAATTATATTTTAATTTTATCTAAATTATGTTTTAATATTATCTGAATTATGTTTTAATATTATCTAAATTATGTTTTAATATTATCTAAATTATGTTTTAATATTATCTAAATTATGTTTTAATATTATCTAAATTATGTTTTAATATTATCTAAATTATGTTTTAATATTATCTAAATTATGTTTTAATATTATCTAAATTATGTTTTAATATTATCTAAATTATGTTTTAATATTATCTAAATTATGTTTTAATATTATCTAAATTATGTTTTAATATTATCTAAATTATGTTTTAATATTATCTAAATTATGTTTTAATATTATCTAAATTATGNGGTAAACAAAGAATTATTACAGACATTATTACCAACATTATTACCATCAGATGATTTCAGCTAGCACATATAGTCAAATTCTGGAATACAGATCACCTTTACAAAGTAATCCCGATTAAAAATAAATAGATTTCAAAAAGAGGAAACATCGATAGCTTATTCATCCTTGATCAGAGACAATTCTTTAAAGGGTGCTGCAGTTGTTAATTGGAAATGCCATTTTTAAAAGGAGCTGGGTCCCTCTAACTTACGCTTTCAGTCCCTATAAATGAAGAATCATGCAGAATGCTTTAATTATGGGACTGTTCCTTTCAGAACAAGTTTTGACGATTTCTAATCTTAATTGTAATTATCTTCATAATTATGCACTGCAAACCAAGATGTTCACACTATTTAGCAAAAATCGAGTAGTATTTTGCCAATTACTCCGCTTAAACTTAATCCAGAAACCAGCGCTTTGAAAATTGAAATGTATATGTCCAGGGCTACAAAAAAGTAAAAGTGAGTTGGTATGGTAAAACCAAAGATAAAAGCCGTGTTACACTTAATTTAAAGTATAAAAGGCTGTCTAAACATTTGATGAACAACTTTC